GGCACGAGGGTTTGCTGTCCATGACGTTCCTGACATTCTGATCGGGTTACATCAGATTTTACAATTCTGGACCGGGTATGATGCTGGAGTATCCTAGCATGCCACGAACTCCGAGAAAGAAGTCTTCAATCGAAGTGCGGTGCGTCTCTATGTTATGCTCAACCTCCGCAGGTTATGGTTTCCGAGCCCCCACTCAACCAACCTGAAGTTTCCTTCTGGATCTTGAGTACCAAACCATTTCTGATTCAGATTGGGTTCAGATGTCACCGCCAATATCACAAGAAAATGGCTCGCTACAACTTGAAGTCGTCTGGCGACAAGCCGAGCATGTCGAAGAGCTCAGAATAGATAGGGTGTTATCTTGCGCACATTGGACAGCTGAACCTTGTTCGCGAGCTGAATCGAAGCGACCGACCCCTGATGAGCTGGTTCCTGGATGCCCAGCTGTTGTGTCATGCCAGCAAAGATGCATTGCGTTCTCGCGCAAACAATGGCCATCGGAGATGCGGCAACGCAATCATTTGTTCAAGCGAGGTCTTTCTGTCTAGCAATGCCCGCAGATGGCATGCACTGGCGCTATAAGGACGCTACTGGTCTCCTTCATGCTGGAAGTGAAGAATGGCTATTCTGTCGACGGGTTCGATGGTAGCTAACGAATAGTCAATTTTAGCCCGCGGACCTGCCCGACAAACTCTGTCAAGCCCCAAGAAAAGAAAATCAGAAGAGAAGAATTGATCCTTTCTCAAGCTAGACACGATACCTGACACTGTGCAGAGGAGAAGCAAGGGGCAAGCCTCCTTGGCCGGTGCCGGTGAAAAAAGAGCATCTCAATGGGAATAGCTCAGGGCGAGATTATCAAAGAGCAAGCGGAGAATATAAAGTTCCTCAAAGACGAAGTGGACGGGATGGTAACGAGGACCCTGTTGGAGATGAAGCGAAGGCCTACACCATTTTCGGATTTGCTTGCTTATCACAATGCGAGTTCACCATGGATAGGGTGCCGTCTCTCGCAGAGCTCACTCACCAGAGATTCAAAGCCCGGCAGACGGGGCTGCTCCATGCCGCTATTGATTGAAATTAGGGTAAATCCCGCTCGGCGACCAAATTTCCGGCCCGTTGCTCAGTTTCCGAAATCAGCGGACGAGAAGATAATCCTCGAAGATGCGAATTGGCTGGTGATTGTACTCAAGAACACTACGATTATGATGGGGGAAGGTTATGAAATACCTGAGTTCCCTCCCCCCCCCCAGGGCTTCCCATGGCTCTAGTATTGAGAAGTTCGTTGCTGATCTAGGAGTCTTTACCACTTCAGCGACTCTGAGCCTCTTAACAGGGCGTTACCTATTTCGTGGACAACAACATATGCAACACCGCCACCACTACTGCCTACACCACATTCGACGGCTTGAATCTAGCTGCCGGAAAGTGAATATACGCAGTTACTCGATGAGTTCTACAAGTTCCAACCATGTCTAATCGGGACCATAAATCTATCGGATGTGTATGGTGCCGCCTCATGAAGCCAGCAAGCACTTGACAGGGAAGAACAACCAGACATTATCTGCAAGCTGACGGCAAACCAGAAAGACGAATCATGTGGCTATTACGGCGCTGCGATGTTCCCTTGCTGAGAAGTATGGACCTAGGCATATATTTGACATATGCCACATTCGTCTCAATCCTGTCTTCCTGCATCTTTCTCGTGTATGAAGCATCCGAGCTTGTTGCGTATCTGCCTGCGACAAGGGCTACATATGATACCTCTTGCTAGCAGGAATGCATTCAGCCAAAACTCTCCGAGCATTTGCTCACCTTTGCGGTTCGGTCATGAGAAGATCAAGCATAGACGCAAAGGTCATGGTGCTTACCAGAGCACTTCACTGCGCTTGCTTGAACTCCATACACTGATTCGTTCAGAGTATCGCCACCACTTTCTGGCCATTGCAGTTGCTGCGTTCCATTTCTTTAATGCAAGCCTTGCCACCGATATCCGGGGGGTTGAACAAACGCTATATTCCTGGAATGTTATAGGAGGCGCCCTGCAAACAATATAACTTATTCTACACCGAGATTGGCTATCTAAGCAAATTCGTTCTGAAATGGAAATATTGTGCGGCAAGGTTTTTCATCCCAAGACATCGCTTCTCGGTGCTCATCGAGAAACTTCGGTTGCTATTACCCGTCCGCAACTCCTGGTCCATCTCTGAAGTGCGATTCGCTCGAGCAGACGTCCAAAATTTTCAAAATCAGTACAGGCCCTTGGAATCATCAATAGAGATACCGACCGACGTACCCGGCGCTTCTTGGATTGGGAAAAGTGGACCGAATGCGTGGTACAGCCCGATAGGAACTGTTGCCTGGGATCGGGTAAGCCTCGCAGCTACTTTGGAAGTAACCAGCTTTACTCCCGAGCGATTTAATAAAAGCACTTTTCATCGGACTGCTACGAACCGAGTTCCTCGTTCGCTGTCTTTGCTTCTCTTGTCAAGTTCAATCGACCCTAACATCTTCATCCACTCGTGCAATACTCAAAGGTCTCATCGATCACTCGGTTCAATGAAAGCCGGTCTACGTGCTCTATTGCAGATACAGTGATAACTACAGGATGCCCTCTATGAAGCCATTATTGACTCGAGCATCGGGGACAATGTAATCGACCCTAGCGATTCTGGAGCACTGGTGTGAAGGGCCTGGCCTCCCATTGGTCAGGCATCTCACTGCCTCCGGCCCCCAGTGAGATACTGTTCCTCAGATAGCTGGAGCCCAAATCCATTCGTCTTTCACGCTCTCATAAACTGGTGTGTGACGGCCGGAGCGAAGTGTGGAAGTGTCATTCGGAGGGAACGATTTGGGCACTAAGGCGTACTTCGCGCACATCTTAGACCTTCTCGAATAGGTGTGCAACAGATGTCGCAGACGAAGAGTCCAGTGACCTTCAGGACGTTAAAATTTCGCTTGTCTAAGGCATTGGTTCTAGACGAATACAACCTGAGCACCAGATCCAGCACAAAACTAGTCCGACAACTGTTGCATATCTGCGCTGACTCACTGCCTTGGGTGATGCGCAATCTTGAGCATATGGAATTCACCCATCTATATCCCGCGAGAGAGGACTGGATATATTCATGGTTGGCTCAGCAAGCCTGCTTCTTCAGGACCTGAGAAGGGCGGACAAATAACCTCAAATCCACCGCATGGCTTACCCATTGATCTCCAGCCATGTGTACCTCATGGCCGGATTAATCTCACGTTCCTATAATCTACGCAGCCTGTCTTTAAAGCGGGCGTCTTTGGCCGGGAAAAAAGAATTTGAACAGCGCCAGAGCAGCTTGGCGTGACAGACTGCCGGAACCAGAGATCCCATAGCCCAGATAAGCTTGAATAGTCTAGCCTCAGCAGCTCGTGTCCATTAGGATTCACAAGCGTTTCTGGGGCTGAAGAGATGTCGACACGGTGGTTGTGAGCATCGAACACCTCAAAGACGATGCTATTATCGCTTCTTGAACTATTTCAGGCAAACTCAATGCATCAGGGTATCTCTCGCGCCTCACAGTCGGTGCGTACGAAAGAGGCCTGAAGCCAGTACGGGACTATATCATGGAGTGGCTACAACCTAGACTTTCCTCCAATCTCCAACTATCCCCTACTGATAACAGCCGGGGTAGCCGTCGCCTTCGTTCTTGGGCCGAGGAAGTTATCCATCCATCATTGCGCATCATTACTAGGGCAAGCAACATGCAGACGTCAAAGCCTTCTAGATGCTCTAGATTTCTTTTCTGACGCCACTTGACCTAGAACCAGCAATTACACAATTGACTTAATCGAAGGTCAATGCAACAAGGGACACCCACTGTCTGTGGTTGGACGGAATTAGATCGACCTTCATACCATTGCCTTGAAATTTCTAGCATCAACTTCGGCAACATGACAGCAAGCACCTCAATCACAGCAAGCACCTCAATCAATGCCTTTTTAACGATCGTGGCGCTCACACGTTGAGGAAACGGTCCCTCTACCGAGAACACCGTGACATGTACTAACCAATGGGTCTCCCCGGCGTCAAAATAAGCTCGGAGATGGTAGACAGCATCATTAGCACCACTACCACCACCACCATGTATGCCACCGCCCCAGCTGTGACAGTAGCAGCATAGTCCAGCCTATATTCCAGAGACATGCAGTGGTCATCACATCATAGAGCGTCTTATGTTGGCACATCCGCTTCTCCGCCGGGGCTGCGCCAGCAGCAAAAACACTTGCAGAGGCTGCACAGCAGTAGCAGAAGTGGCACACTGGGGATATCTAAGATATCTTCTCATCTATCGATACTTGCTTAATTACCCTTCTGCTTGATCGTCGATGGTATCTAGTGACGCAGTATCTACTTGCTGCGCTGTGTTCTCCCCGCTGTATTCCCTCCGCTGATGGCTGCTCATGGGTCATGGTGAGGTAGGTGGTGGAATTCTCAACTGGCTGGAAACTGAAGATCAGGAATTCAGGCAACTTGATCATTACCCTTGTTGCTTCTGACTACCCTGATTTGGCGAAGATATGTATGGGCAAAGTCAACAACGAACATAGTTCTGATGACCAGAACAGCAAGACCAAGAGAAAGAGACACATGAAGACGATGTTGATGTCCTCGAAGAGCATTCGACAAAGGTGGCACAGAAGGCAGAAAAGCCGTGCTACCAATTATCCCGCAGATTTTGATACGGAAGGCCGCATCTGACCTGAGCGCGTCCTGTCGGCGTTCCTGGGCGATCCGGCCACGTGATTCCAGCGGCCTTGTCACCTTGTTTACCACCTTGAACGTGGCTAGTTCCAATCACCAAGAAAGCCAAGGATACGTTTCAGCACCTTACCCCTGAGGCTTCAAAATCGTCGACACATCCCAATTGGCCTATGCTCGTCTTCTGTGTGCGCGATCTGCTCTTTTTTTGCCCAGTACAAAGGATATATGTCTTGTGCGGAGGCCGTGCTGCAAATGCGAACCAAATATGGCCACTAGGCCATCAACATATCTTATGATCCGGAAATTCGGGGTGGCGCCCGTGGTGCACCGGCTGCAGGCCAGGAATGGAGAGGACGCCTAAGGGCTGGCCACACACGAGCCCGGGACACCAGTTCGCGGTGCCGCACGCGGGTGCACGCCCGTGAGTCTTCCACATTTCCGCTGGCTTCGGCCGCATGCTGACCCTTTTGCGCAGTCGCTGGTCGACGACTTAATTGAAGAGGTTGTGTTTGCGTTGGTGCGGGCCGTGGCTGCCGGCGAGGCGGACGAGATGGAGCGGCTGTGCCACATCTTCAAGGCCGAATACGCTACTAGGTAAGTATAGGCCGTCGACGTTCTGTATACCTCGTACGTCTCGTCGGCAGCCGCTGCCTGCCCTTCGCCCGCATCTTCGCTCCGTCCGCGCCCTCGCCGCATGGGTATTCGCCGGGATGCCCCTCTTCGCCTTCTTCCAGGGGGTTGTTGTTGGTTGGAAAATGTGGCGTTGGTGGGTTGGGGTTCGTTAGCTGCGGTCGTTCGTTTTTTTCCTGTGATTCAGTCATGTTGCGCCTTGTGCGCGCCCTTCAGGGCCCAACGTCGCCTTTTCCCTTGTGCCACGATCCCTCTAGTTGCTTGATGAAGTCAAAGATTTCGTCATATAGCATGATGATTTTTGGACCTGTGAACCGAGCATTGCTACTGTAACAGGGTGTTGGGGACGGCTTGAAAGCAATAACTTTGCTATCATTGCAATCGTCTCGGCTTGTACTGCCCGCGCATTGGTGCTGGAACAGTTCGATCAAAGGCATGAAAACTACTAGGTACACTCCAACCAACTGCTTCGGCCTTCCCGACTGGATGTCCGGGATCAGAAACCATTGTCAAAATCATATCTGCTGGACCCCGAACAGACTAGACACTTACCACCTCAGCGACCACCACCGAACGCTCCTGTCACTGTACCAATTGAAGAAACACTACAGTGAGCCGTACCAACGGTCACCACGCCGTCGGCCAACGGATGTGTTGGACATGCAAAAAGAAAGGACACGAAGAAAGCAAGTTGTCCAAGCGCCTTCCCGGAATTGGAAAGAGGTTTTCAGTGCGCCGCGTACGACCGCGACTCTTTTGTTCCGATCAGATATAAATGTTGATATTTCAGGGATGGCACATATCGGTCATCTCTCGCGTCTTTGCAAGCGAATCGAGTGAAGGCCGACGATCGACTACTAAGACTATGGCTCGGCCGTAGCCGATCTGGCATGTGACCGCTGAGGCCGCAATTAGTATTTGGCTTTGCTGGGTACAGAGCTTTATTGACATTGAGGCGGCAGGAGGCAATGAGAGGATAGTGCCTGCCTTACTTGGTAAGCGATGCAAGGGGCCGGGTGGCATCGAATTCCTCCCTCCCCTCCTTCTTTCCCTCTCGTCCCTTTCACACATGAATAGCCTCTTATTTGGGCCCAATATCAAGCAGTCTTTCATTCTTCCGGCTACCATATACAGGGTGTAGTTATCGAATCTATATCATTCTTCCCTACTCGGCGTGGAGGCCTCATGTGGGTGGGACGAGCCGGGCTCCCAAAGTATGCCAATCGGCACTCATTCCTTTGCGTCATTTCTTTCAAAGTGCTCCCTATCATTCCGAATTATTTATCGTCCCACGGTTCCTTCTTACCGTCGTTGTCGTTGTCATTTGCTTTCAGACACGCCTTGCTCTCTTATCGTGTGCTCCTTCATCAGCTGAACTATGGATCCTATGCGTGGCCGTCGCCTTCAGCGGGAAGACAGGCGAAGATGTTGACCTCTATTGCAAACAGTCGAGTTTGTTGTGGCGTGTGAAGACCCTTGATCACGAGGAACAGGACGAGGCCTTGGCTGTGGCGATTCTCTCAGGGCTGAGAGATGGGGCAGCAAAGTTCGTCAACACTTAATAATGTCGAGGTGGTCCGGAAAATCCTCGGGGAGCCCCTATGAGCCTACAAAGGCTGAGTTCACTTTCCAAATTGAAGAGAATGGAACCCCGTGCACATTAAGGAATACGTCCTCCAGTTCCTGAGGCATCTGCATGAAAACTACGGGTGGCTTCCAGACATTCCATGGATGATATGAAAGTGCGACCATTCCAGCGAGGAAATCAAGTCTATCTTATCAGTGTCCAAAAAATAAAAAAAAGAAGGATTGGAAAGCGCGGGCGAAAGACCCGCTCAGCGACGATGAGCCACACTTGATGGCACACGACTCACACGTTGCAAAATGAGGGTACAGCAGGCAGCAAATGCTGGCCATAATCTTCGGATCTTGGGCTCCAGAAAACCTAGCTGCTCAGCAGAATTCGCTGCCCTTAGCTCCGAGAAACGCCTGCGATGTAGACCCAGGAAACACAAGAGCACAAACCCAGGCATGGTGATAGTGGGCAGTGGTCAAATGCCATTATTTGTCACGAAACTCGGTTTGTTTTTTCTCCCAATCAAGAGCAGGTATCTACACGATTAGCTGTCACCAGATCACTTGCGACCTGGTCCCTGTGCTTTTCAAAACGTGTTTCGTTGCCTTCCTGGCTGGTCTCATTTCTCTGCTTGATGATAGGATTGATGAACTCTCCTCTGAACATACGGATACCTACCACTGCGCGATGACTCAAGTCAATCCAGCACTTGTTGTCGATGAGTTCGCAGGGACTGTCAGCTCCCCGCAGGGATTGTCAAGAATGAAAGTTTGCACAGAGGAAACTCCCCATCTGATCGATCAATGGGTGTAAGGTATTCAGTCAATCGGACCAAGTCTGAATTTCCTTTATTGTACTCCGTGACGCGCAGAATTGGGCGGGTCAGATTGCCACTCTGGGAGTCAGTCAGGAAGATAATGCTCGATGGCACATGGCTCGGCTCGGGCTTTAGAAGCTTACCAAGAAATAACAATATGTGTCAACGAAAATCGGAATCCAAGCGCCAAGGTATGGCAGCGTCCCAGAAATATACTGAACTGACACTGCTGCTGTTACTATCACTAACAGCCTGATAATTTTACCGTGGGCTCTTACAAGCCCGATCCCAGCAAACGAGGCAGCTGCAAACAAAATCCCTACAATCCACTGTCTGTATTCTTACGTGAAATTTCCAGACTGCCTCTTTTATAATTTCTCTTCTTTTCTGATAAAACTTACCAAATGCATGCATATCCTTCCTGGTGTTCGGTAATGTATTAGTACCTGGTGCTTGAGGGCAATGAGTTCCTACTCGGCTTCCCTATGCGATTATCTTTTACAGCGGCTGTTTGATACTACGCATTGTTCATTCATGTCCTGAGGCTTGGACACTCGACGCTTATATTCTTCAGATCCCTACTCGTGTTAACCATACTGCTCATCTGCAGCCGCAAGAGCTGCACGAAGAGTATACCACATACTAACGTGACAGCTGCAACAATCTATCTGTTGGACGCGAGTCAACCAACATCCAAAGCAATTATCACGGAAACCTACAGTCATCCTACTCCAGCCAAAACGCCGTGGCTATTTGTATATTGCATTTATCTTGAGAACGTTGTTATACTTACATGCTCTCTTGGTGCCTGTAGCAGAAACCGAAAAGTTTTCTGGTGGATGGATAGCATACCCCGGGAGCTGGAGATCAACCGCAACCTTTGATGTGAGACTTGGAACTTTTTGTTTTCCTACAGTCCTGAAGGAGTCTCGCACGAAAGAGGGAAGTTTCAGACGGCGACTGCACACTATAGACTCTGTTTCTTGAAAAGGGGCGCCAGGGCTAAGATAGTAGCTTCGAAGACGCTCTAGCTGATCCACACACGGTGGATAAGTCGTTGTTCACCCAAGAACAGATTTTCACTCAGGATGCCAGAGACAGAGATCAGCGCTCGAGATTACTAGTCGACTGAGGACTCTTCAGAAAGACAACACCTTCCGGGCTCTGAATAAACCGGTGGCTGACCTCCATAAAGCACACTTCATACAATTGTCCATAGGGAACAAAATTGTTAGCAATCTCATGGTACATGGCGATATGGCTCCATCAGTACTCCGGAGTAGAGACTAGGTAGCAATACTCATGCTCATCATTCAGATGGTGTCAATTGAGTGGTGTAGAAGCCAAGGATCAGCAGTGGGTGGGTGGATGATATCATTGTCGATCAGGCAACCATGAATGAATTGCATCTTATCTCCGCTGCCTCCGCTGCATCCGCCTCCTCCGCACTCTCCGCATACACCCTGCATATCCTTCATTTTCTTTTTTGACTATCTTCAACAACCTCAATGGAAGCTCACAAGACGGCCGTAGATGCGCTGGCCGCTCAAGTCAAGCGGTTCCACGTCCGTCAGCAGCCCTTCCGTATCTATCATGGCTCGACCAACTCCACGCGCCAGTCGCAGCACCACGCGCACAACACAGTCAGCACCGCCGACCTCAACCATGTGCTGCACGTCAACGAGGTCACCCAGACCGTGACCGTCGAGCCCAATGTGCCCATGGACGCCCTGGTGGCCGCCACCCTCGAGCACGGCCTCGTCCCGCTGGTGGTGATGGAGTTCCCCGGCATCACCGCGGGCGGCGGCTTCTCCGGCACATCCGGCGAGAGCAGCTCCTTCCGCCACGGCTTCTTCGACGCCACCGTCCTGCAGATCGAGATCGTGATCCCGAACGGGGAGATCCGGTCGGCGTCGCCCACCGGCCCGGCCGCCGATCTCTTCTGGGGCGCCGCCTCCGCCTTCGGCACGCTGGGCGTCGTCACGATGCTGGAGATCCAATGCCGGCGCGCGCTGCCCTTCGTCGAGCTCACCTACCTCTCCACCACCAGCATGTCCGAGGCCATGGATACCATCCGCGCCAGCACCGCCGACCCGACGATCGAGTACCTCGACGGGATCGTCTACGCCAAAGACCACATCGTCATCTGCGCCGGCAAGCTGACCGACACCTTACCCACGGCCACAGCTACATCGCCAGCGGCAGCTCCCATCCAGCAATTCACCCGGCCCCACGACCCATGGTTCTACCTCCACGCGCAAGCTCGCGCGCCTCGTCGCCCCTCCCCCTCAGCATCACCCACACCCCCTTCCCTTCCAAAAGACCACATCCCCCTCCAAGACTACCTCTTCCGCTACGACCGCGGCGCCTTCTGGACCGGCCGCTACGCCTACTCCTACTTCCTGACTCCCTTCACCCACCTGACTCGCTACCTCCTCGACAACTTCATGCACACCCGCGTCATGTACCACGCCCTGCACCAAAGCGGCCTCGCCGCGCAGTACCTGATCCAGGACGTCGCCGTCCCGTACACCGCCACCACCACCTTCCTGGATTGGTTAGATGCACCCGCCAACTTCGGCCACTACCCCATCTGGCTGTGTCCGCTGCTCGTGCGCGACGAAGGCGGCGGCCTCATGACCACCTCCGGGCGACGCCGGCCCCGCCCCAACACCCAAGCCACCCCTACCCCTACCACTACTGTTACCACTATTTCTACTCCGCAGGATGAAACACACACCCAAGCTACCGCGCAAACTCCGCTGGACCAGGACAGGGGCAAGGATAAGGCAGCCGCCACCGCCGACGAAGACGCCAAATACCTCCTCAACTTCGGCCTGTGGGCCCCCTCGCCGCACCGCGGGGACGCCTTCATCGACCACAACCGCCGGCTCGAGCGGAAGGTCCACGCCCTCGGCGGCAAGAAGTGGCTGTATGCGCACGCGTACTACACCGAAGCGGAGTTCTGGGAGATCTATGATTGGGAACGGTACCGCGGGTTGCGGGAGAGGTATCAGGCGGCGTATTTGCCGGATCTGTGGGAGAAGGTGAGGGTGAGGTTGGGGGAGACGCAAGGTGGGGAGGGGGCTGGGTGGGTGAAGTGGGGAAGGGGGTTGGTGGGGAAGGTTTGGCCGGTGAGGGGGTTGTATGGGGTTTGGAGGGCTTGGTGGGGGGGGGAGTATTATTTGAAGGGGTAGGGACTTTTTGTTTCTTTTAGGTGAGGATAGCTTGGGGCAAGAGGGACTGGACATTGTGCGAACGGGTATGTATATATCAAGGAATTCATTTGTAACAAGTATAGTAAAATATCATCAGGTCATTAGATGTTCAATGTGTCGAGACCGGTGCTAGCTATCTTCCAATCATATCTGTCAATGTCCAACTTTATCAGAATGTCTTTTCACATCCAACAACCACATTTAGTGCTGTCGCTTGAGCTCCTTTCTGAACGCCTCCTCCTGCTTCACCACCTCCAACGGAAGCATGTATCCAATGCCAAACAGGACGAACGGCGCCCACTTCCACCGGAACGGGTTCACCACGATGCAGAACACGAACCAGTAGATCAGCTCGGTGTAGGTGAAGAAGTCGAACGCCCCGACGGGCGACATCTTCTTCATCAGCCGGGTGAAGTCGATCCAGGTCTTCATGCGGCCCTCGCTCGGCCGCGACAGCGGGTCCGTCAGGAACATGAGCAGGAAGCGCGTGTAGATGCCGATGTGCATGTTGCCGACGGTGCCGATCGCGTTGACGTAGGTGCTGTTGTTGGCGCAGATGCTGGGGTACTTGGGCGGGAAGGTCTGGAGGTACCAGCTGGGCGGCGAGTAGGGCTCCTCGAAGGCGTCGTCCGGCAGGAACGAGAGCGAGGGCCGCTTGAAGCCCGTCGCCATGATCACCACGTCGCCCGGCACGAGGGCCTCGTGGCCTGGCCCGCCCTTGGGCACGCCGCGGCTGCGGAAGTTGAACCGGATCCCGTCCGCCTCGGTCGAGACGATGTCGCCGCGCAGCCAGCGCGCCTTGCCCTGGCGGATCTGCTCGAAGAGCTCCGAGTTGGCCATCGGGGTGCCGGTGAACAGCCCGCCCGAGGGGGCGATGTCGGACAGGTCGCGGTAGAAGAACTTGCGGAGGAGCGATTCGGGGATCCACGAGAGGGAGGTCTCTTGGCCGAGGATGTTCATCGCCAGCAGCGACTGCACGAACACATTGCGCGGGATGACCCATTTGTCGGAGCGGGAGAGGACGTCGATCTCGGCGGCGTGGTTCTTGACGGCGAACTCCAGCGCTTCGATGGCACTGGCGCCGCCGCCGATGATGAGCACCTTCTTGCCTTCCACGGACTTGCCGTCCAGCTCGGAGGAGTGGTAGATCTGGCCCTTGAACTTCTCTTGGTCCGGGAGCGGGGGCATCTTCGGGTCCCCGCACACGCCGACGGAGGCAATGATTCCGTCGAAGCGACCATACTTGGACTCGTCGTTGTTGATGATCCATCTGCCGTTCTTGGTCTGCTTGACCGAGGTGATCGGGGTGTTGAAGGTTGTGTGCTTCTGCAGGTCGTAGCGCTTCCATAGGCTTGCGATCTGTTCTTTGATCTCTGCTTGTGTGGGGTAGGCGGCGTCGTACTTCACTGACGGGTGGAACCGATACATCAGGCTGTGGATTTGCAGAGAGGATGTCGAGTTGACACGCTGGGGGTCGGGTTAGCACGTTCAATTGCGCGGGAGTGCGAGGGATCTTACACTCCAGATACCTCCGAGGCCCTTGTCCTTGGATCTGGCTTCGAAGATCTCGACATCGAACCCATGACCGACGCAGTGTGCTGCCGCTGAAACTCCGGTTAGACCTGCGCCAATCACGGCAATTCTCTTCTTCGGGAGGCCATCTGTGTCAGCCGTCGGCTTGGGAGGATTGGGGGCAAAGATCCAAGTGATCAAGTGCTGAAAAAGCATGTAGAAGACAGTCCATGTCTGTAGGAATGGGTGCTTTAGAAACGCCGATATGGAAAGTCCTGATTGATTTTTTTCCGCCATGGTAGGCAGTTGTTCGTAGGCAATGGGAGAGAGGGAGGGTTGGGTGCCACTCAAAAGCAGCTGGTGAGGTAAGACGCGAATAAGTTTCTTGACTGCAATTAATCTGGGACGAGAAGTCGACTGGGGAAGCAGGAACCTTTTCAATGGGACTCGGACTCGGAAGGGAAGACGATGATGATGATGGGGGCTTGAAACAGCCATGTTCAAAGCATGACGTAGTTGTGGATCGGCCATTGTGCGAAGCATGTGAATGCGGGAACCACCACACACTGCCCACTGGGTTCTTCTCCGGATGAAAGAGCCATGCACTAATGACTGCCATTACATAATTCCCGCAAGCCCATCAGAGAGAGCTGGCCTTGTTCCTCTTCGGTTATCTGTCCCTTCATTCATGTTTTGCGTGTGAGATCCCGGGGTCCTCCGGCTGGTGGGACTATCCACTCCGAGCCAGGTCGCTGGACGCCAGGACCAGGAGTCCTTTGAGCGTCTCGTGGAATTGACTATGTGAAATTTGACTCTATTCGCTTGGTATGTTGTGACACCATACGGCTTCCACGTGGTAGTGTAATCCCGATCTGAACGGTCCGTCCGGCGACCACCTTAATTTCCTCCCAATGGTGATCATCTCAATGGTGCTGGTCTCAATTAAAGTGACTTGAGAACGACTTTGCTCAGAGAACACTCCGAATGCAGGTGTCTGCAACAAAAGCTCCGACTGCAAGAATGGTGACGGGCTATGGCGTACATAAATTGCTGATCTGTATGTTTCTATCTATAGCCGAGATTATCTCAGCAGGCCCAGCCCCCGGGATATAGAATAATCGCTTTGGAAATAGCTTGGAGTTGTATATTTATCTAATCTATATATAACCATTTATTATTTACAATTGAAAATATATACAGATCCATTGATATATCGACTAAGTAGAACGTTCTTTCCCACACCTCAGGTATGAAATAGTGCTGAAATTGATGAAGATCCAGCGCACACCACCATTCTTGGATAAATTTGCATTGCACACTGCGATTCTTTTCGGCTTCAAAATGGAGTATTTTTGATGGTTCTGTACATTCCCCCACATAAGACAGTACACTCTATATTTCGAATGGAATCATCGGCTCCATCATCAGGTCTGATTTGCTCGCACTGCTGTTAGAGTCTCACCCGAGATCAAAGGTCCACACCAGCCATACGCGTCGCACCGACATTGTTCATATCGAGGGCAACTAGATATCAGCTTAGCCAGACATATTCCTCTGTCTCACCAGGAATTGATCCTAATGTGCGTGCATCACTCACTATATAGCCTCCATTCCGAAGATGATGTGCCAAATCTTTTCGAAGACCCATCCAACTCCAAAACTGTCTGTCAGCTTTGTTTCATCCGCCCAGCGTAACATACGCTCGTAGTCGGATCGGGGCCGTTGAAGAAGTCGCGCCCGGCTAACAGCAAATTGAGCACAACAGACATTTCCAATCTGCTCTGGAACTTGGTCGGCAGGAACATCAAGCAGTACTTGGTACACCTCGGCAAAATAGGCGCGGATATCATGGTTTTTTCTATCGAGGTTTGACGGGCTCCACGGCTGAACACTTGTTGGACAGCCGGGATCATGCTCACATCGGAGGTTAAGATAACCTCGCGCATCGACAGCCTCTAAGCGGAGATTGCGCAGAATTGGCCCGGTATGAGGGCCAAATAGGTCATTATGCCACTGGTCATGATCGGAATGTACGAAGAAGGTGTAACTTGGCAGTCTGTCGTAATAGTCGATTATAAAGGAGAGGTAGGCGGTGGCCTCGCGACCACGAATCGTACGCGGAGTCAAAAGATGAGGCGCCGGCTTGGCATCAGTGGTGTAGACAAATGGAATTGTCCCGCTGCCGCGAACATCGTCAGCCAACACAAGAACAAGTGGCAATTGGGACCTTAAAAGTGCCATACTGATCCCTACAGTATTCCAGCACCCAGTTTAGATCTTCATGCTTCCTCGCTGCTAATACCAAGCCGATCTCATTCGTTGCATTGTTATAAGTGTCTGTGTATCTGGATATTTGCTCATGCACGGGGTTGATACCATCTGTCATGGATTGGTAGTCAGCACAATATCACGGGCAGAAAAAGCCGACTGGAACGTGGAGAATTACCACGACCAAGGTACCACGAGAGACTGGAGACCACAAGCAGAGCCAAAACTCCAAAGGCGGCAGTGCGGCGTTTGGGCCAGCGGAACTGCCGTCTCTGCAACATCAAAGATGGAGGTCTTTGCAACTTGTCAAACAGCATACCAAAAATGAAAGCACAGGTGGGGAATTGTGGGCCGATAAGGGAAAGGGGGGAGTAGGCCGACAACAGAATCAAATGTGTTGTTTCTCACCATCAAGGAAAATCGGTTGTTGTTAATCCCAGCGGGCACTCTTAAGCTCGAGAGTCGAAAAATAGATGTGGGGGAGGGCGAATAGACTTTACCAATTTCGAAAGACGCTTGCGCGAGATTATCCAGCGCCTGTCAAGACATTGGAGTTCATAGTCGAAGTAGCAGCGGAGATTACCCGATATCCAATGACCCTATGTACTATCATGGATATAGCCCCAATCCTGCTTATCTTCAGCCGCACCTCGAGGACGATATTAATCTCCTCATTCATCACTGCCCTTGAACTGAGTAATGGAATTGGTAAGTGGGAGAATAGCGCATGCAAAGGAACACCTATATCATATTTTCCGCATTGTACAACTCTAATAAGACCGACCTCACTATAGGTTTAATAGCTGCGGCTATAATAATAGTAAATTGTGAATGTCCCAAGTATCGGATGATCGTTCGTGGAATGTCTTATCCCAGGACTCTCGGCAGCAGTACTCAAGTGTCCGCAATAGAGTGACAAGCAGCTATCCTCAAGCCATCGCTGTAGTGTGAGATGGGTAGAGTATAGTTATAAGGGAAGTTGACCCCGACTGAAGATGGCCGCCAAGCCCCTTCAGCACAGATTTCCTGATTGAGGCTAGTGTGAAGCTGCGGCGGTGGGAGCTTATCCATCCCATCCAACATTCTGCCGCCGTTCAGACCTCCGTTGTTGCTCTAATTCATCCAAGCTGCGTCCCCGGCCTCTACCTTCCAGACCCTAGTTCAGGGTCTCGTTCATTCTCTTCGCCGTCGCATCATGTGTGACATTCGTTGAGTTGCCTTCCAAAACACCTCCCGCACGACATTCATGACCATCGCATCGATAGCGAATCCGTGATCTTCGGCCTGCCTCGCTTCCCATTCCTTCCACGACGGACAACATGGCCACACCAACCCTGGATCGCTTCTTAGCGAGCGTCGCAGATATCGTCAAATCCCGCGATGGAGCCAAGCTACAGGACTTTCTGCAGATTGAGCCTCCCCTCCCCGATGTCTATCGGCAGATGACCAACGAGCTACGGCAACACCATCCTTCTGGTCCGCGGGAAACAGATCTATTGCGACGATGTGAAGGATTGGTACCAAAGTCCAAGGGTAGCTCCTGGACCGCTTTTGCGACTTTCATGAGGCTTTACTGCACTTTTCTACGAGATGTGAATGTCGATAACTTGCTCGAGACATACGATCTTCTCAAGGGACTCGTCAAGTATGCATTGCATTTTTCTCCGGATCACATTCGCAGACACTGACCTTACTGCATACAGTCAATGTGTTCTTGCATTGGGCGATAGTCAAATGGGCGTTATTGTCTTACCGACCGTTCTGTACCTCTCAAAAGTCCTCGCGAAGCTGGCCATGGGCCTCGACCGTCGTCCCGAACTGATTGCACACCTACTCCGACTCGACGGCCGTTCAAACCAGGATGAGACTGTGGAGAAGGTGACACTGGTGGAGAAATCGGCAAACGTGGTTCGGGAGGCCTTCATCAAGTGCCTCACAGACCGAAGTGGTACGCCAGGGATCCATGGAAAGCCCGAAGGCAAGCGCATTGGCATCTACTTGATGGCCAACCTCTGCCTGAAGCTACTCTTCCAGGTAACATCAGGCCGTGAAATTGGCATGTCGTGCTCTAACCATGACTATACAATAGTGCGGTAAACTTCGAAATGCGGAGCAAATGTTCGCGAGTATCAGCGCACAATCCCCGCCCCTCAAGTACTTCCCGGCCTCCCAGAGGGTGACATACCTATACTACCTCGGGCGCTACCTATTCGCCAACAACCTCTTCTATCCTGCACAGATTGCCCTACAGGCCTCGTACGACGAATGCCACCATCAAGCGCTAAACCAGAAGCGAGCCATCCTCACCTACCTGATCCCATGCAATATCATCCTGGGCCGATTCCCCACCCTCCGACTGCTGCAACGTCCGGAAGCCGAGGGACTGGCAGAAAAATTCATTCCGATCTGCCGCTTGATCGCTCGTGGCGACTATATCGCCTTCCGGGAACACCTGGCTGTTGGTTCCCCCGAGACAGAATGGTTTGCGCGTAAGGGGATTCTTCTTCCGTTGCGCAACAGATGTGAGATTCTTGTGTGGAGGTCTCTTTCTCGTAAGGTTTTCATTCATGGTGGATTTCACGGTGACCCTCAAGGCCAGAGTCGTGGGCCGCCCCCATTCTTATACCTTAGCAAACTTGAGGTTGCTATTCAGTGGATCCAATCTCAGCATACGGTCCCAGCGCAACAGGCTTATGGTTTCTTCGCCTCTCGACCCGAGCTCGATGCACAGGCTGGAAACAACCGTGTTGGTTCCCAGATAGTATACAAACCACTAGACTGGGACTTTGAAGGTGTAAACGAACTTGATGCGCAAGAAGCCATACCTGGACCCAGCCTGATAGCCAAATATGCTGATTACCTGGCACCTGATGGGTACTTCGATGCTCAAGGGCAATGGCAAGCCAACCCAGCCGGGAACCTGGTTGATGGCCAGCCATCGGCAGATTACAAGCAATTTGAGCTCGACCCCTACGCCAGCCGCCCTGACCTTGAGCCCGAAGAGGGGAAACCTACTTTGATGATGCGGGAGATTGAGTCAATTCTAGCTTCCCTCCTAACCCAAGGCCTGATGCGCGGTTACCTGACCCACAAGAATCCCCGTTTAGCCATCCCGGGCGCACGCCTTCGTGGAGCCGTGCCTACAGGGTTTCCCAACGTGTGGCAGACAATTTACGCCCGAGAAAGTGAAGATGACAACGTTCCAGGCTGGGTTCAGCCTCCAGCCGCGGCAGCGATTCCTACGGCTGGCGGAGGAAGAGTGGTCAATCTCTCGGGAGCACGACCTGTTGGCGTTCAATGAAGTACGATTTCGGCACACTTTCCGTCACCACATCGACAAGCTAGATCCCTGTATATAATCATCCCGTTTTGTTCTCGCATTATACCAACTAGACGACTATGAAACACCTTGAACCCGAAAGGCAGAGTAATATGAGATTCAGTTAATATAGTTACACTGATAATGAAGCCGAGTCTCGGAGATCCGAACTCCCGAGCACCGACCATACATGTCAAGCAATTACAGCCGCCAAATCTCGATCTCCGAGAACACGTGCGCTCGGAGCATGCGCTGTGATTGAGAAGGAGAAGGATCAGACGTTGACGCTCGGGATCGGGCCCGAGATCTCGGTCATATCGCAACAGCCGAGCCTGTGATCTGCAACTAAAGCCGACCCGACTGTGGGCGGGTTCCTGCTTCTGCAGACTTTCTGGCTCGATTCCAGACGGTGGGCGATTCTGCAAGCAGCATGCGTAAGCACACATGAAGGATAAGATTAATTCTTGTCTGCGGCCTGCGGATCCTCCCGGTGGTTCCGACCCACATTATGCAGTTATCTTCATGAGAAATCTTTAGTACAGCCGTACGAAGGCACTTCCAATGGTTACACTAACTACTCGAAACGATGACGACGACGGACGATCCTCACTGCCGAGTTGCGAGACAAATCCGCGGGACAAGCTTGCTTGCGACCCAAGCTTGATGGTATATAAGGAGGGTTGTATCCAGACATCCTCTCGTTCAACAGCCAATCTCGTCCTCATTCATCCTCTTCTCAGTATCAGAACGTGGGCGAACAACCTTTCCTCATGCACGTCATCTCCACCCTGGCCGGCCTGACAGCCGTTGCACCACTGGCAGCGTTCGCTACTCCTTTGGCACGATCTTCCACCTCGCAATTGCCAATCATCAATACCACCCTGGGTGATGTGCAGGGTCAATACTCACCTTTTCGTGGCGGCGATGTGGCTGTTGTCTATAAAGGAATTCCTTTTGCCGCTCCCCCTACAGGAGACAATCGCTGGAAGGCTCCTCAACCTGCCACATCGTGGAGTGGTGTTCTCAATGCGACTGAGTTTGGTCCTCAGTGTGCCCAGACTATCAGCAGTGCGGGTATCTTCAGCAGTGGCAAGACTACTACGAGCGAAGACTGTTTATACCTGAACATCTGGACGCCCAACTACAACGACACCTCGGACATCACATCTAAGAATCTACCCGTGTACTTCTGGATCTATGGTGGTCGGTTCGAAGGAGGCTCGGGAGATGTGCTGACCTACGATGGCACCGGTCTCGCAGCCAAAGACATCATTGTCGTGACCATCAACTACCGTCTGGGTGCATTCGGTTACCTTGCCCACCCCGAGCTTTCCGCTGAGTCCGGCCACAACAGCTCCGGCAATTACGGCATCCTTGATCAGCAGGCTGCGCTGCGTTGGGTCCACGAGAACATCGCCAACTTCGGTGGAAATGCCAGTCAGATCACTGTGGGCGGACAGTCTGCCGGCTCTGCCAGCGCCCTCGACTCCATGTGGAGTCCTCTGAACAAGGGCCTGGTGGCGGGTGTCATCGCCGAAAGTGGTGCGCGTGGCCCTCACGACCCTATGACGGGTAGTGCAGCAACCAGCTACCGTACCAAAGCTGCTGCTGAAGCCCAGGGCGTTGAGTTTCTCAAGGAGTTGAACGTTACCAGCCTAGCTGCGGCCCGTAAGGTTTCTACAGAAACGTTGATTGGATACGACTCGCTCAGCGACACCATCTTCGAAGGCACTCAGTTCCAGAACCTGTCCAGCTTCTTCATGGAACCGCCCATGTGGCGCCCAAACATCGATGGCTACGTCCTCCCTTACGGCTACGGCGAGTCGCTGTCTCTTGACGCGCACCTAGACGTGCCCATCCTCACTGGAAACAACAAGGATGAATCGGGCGCCAGCCCTGACCCAGGCTTGACCGTCGCCAGCTACAAGGAGCTCTACACCGAGCTGTTCGGGAACAACGCCAGCCAGTTTTTCGACCTCTACCCCGGTCAGAGCCTCGCCCAGGCGAACAACAACTCGAACGAGTTCTACCGCGACCTGAGCCGTGTCGGCACCTGGCAGTGGTCCGTGGACTGGGCCGCCGGTGGTGCCAAGAGCCCCGTCTACACCTACTACTTCACCCGCAGCCCTGCTGAGAACCGCGACGAGGGTGCGTACCACGGCTCGGAGCTTTGGTACAGCTTCAACAACATCCCCTACTCGGACTACTCCAACGTGACCTGGTACCCTTACGATTACATTGTCGAGGAGCGCATGTCCAACTACTGGGCGAACTTCATTCGGACCGGCAACCCTAACGGGGATGGACTGCCCGAGTTCGCCCCCAGCACCAAGGACAAGCAACAGACGATGTGGCTGGGCAATTCCTGGGGATCGGGCCCTCTTTCTGCTGACGACTCGCGGATTGAGTTCATGGAGGCTTGGTTGGCGACGATGCCTGAGTGGTAGTTTGGGATGGTTCATCGCTATCTGGTGGGTTTCTGGTGGTGCAGTGACACTGTGCGATGCTTTATGCTAGGTATTGTTTATACCTTAGTGGTCCGAGTCCTTGAAGGACAGGGCACTTTCGCTTCTTGACATTCTTTTTCCTGTATATTACTACGGCAGCTACTATACTTGGACCTGTGTGGTTTTATCTTTTATTTTACCCCGTTGCACAAAATAGAGATCACAATATAGTATTTACTTGAGGGTAACAGCTAACCAACCAACCAATCCCAAGAACCCAAGTCATCGAACACCAGCTTGTGTCCTATATTCTCCAACAAGATTCCCACTACATGCATCCATCACCTCCTTAATACCTTGTACAAATCTGTTATAGAACATGGCCTAACAAAGAAAGCTTTTCTAAGCCATATTCTCTGATATGATTCTACGGAGCCGTTTGAGAGCTAGTATATGAATTAGTAGAGAACTTCGAGTAGAGATATGCGTATACTGTTTCGAGTTCCCGGTCAAAACCAATGAAGAGGTCGTGTATAAGCAACTGCATGACTGAAGGGTGTGCAATATGGAACGATTCTCATTCCCAATGCCTTAGGGGTTCTCACTCTCCTAGTGGTCCTAACCCATTGGCCCTGGGCAGCAGTCTCTCGTCGACAACAGCCTTCTTATACAGATTAGTATGGCAAACTTTTGGTAGCACTTTACAAAGGCAAGCCTCGGTAGGGGTCATCTGAATCAAAAGATAAACAGATTGTCGTGTAAAGGACGCGTAGATTTGGCCTCTGTCAGGCTTGCGTTAATAAGAAAAATTACAGATACACATATCTTGTGAGTAATAGAACGTATAGATGTTGAAGTCTTGTTGATAGAGAAAAGCGTAGATCTGTTGGAGACACATCGGCTTGGCAATATCAGATATCTCGGCGGTTGTAGTTATCAACAAAAGAATTGTTGATTATAACAAGTATCAACTTGGACTGTTCATGACGGAGGAATATACAAAAGGGATTATCCCAGAGCCCTAAGAGGCTACAAGCTCCGGGCACATAACCTGTAAGCAATTCAATGGCTCAGGGGGGGGGGGGGGGCAATAGGGAGCGGTTTCTTCATTCCTTGGCGGTTCTCCATAGCTAAAATTATGATATCGAGATGTAGAGCAGCCTGCTAAACGCGTTGGCTCATGTGGCAGGTTTGCTCGGAAATGCTGACATCCTGCCCGAGTCGATATTGGCAAGAGGCGGGTTTTTCCTTAGGAGATGTAGGGAGTTGGAGTCTAGGAAAAGTCGGCGTTCGCCTAAGGTGTGGTCACTCTAACGTGCTACCTCCCTTCTGAGCCAGACAAGTCTGAAGCAGGAAGTGGAAGCTTCCTGTCCTGCTTTGGGGGAACTGTAGGGAACGATGTATGAGACACTATTCGTCCTAGGTTGAGCTCTGCGGGATGTCTTGTCGTAGTCTCGAGGCGGAAGATGGACGCATATTGATGATTACCTTCTCGAAATTAAGAACGTACGTATGATGTGACAGATATTGTAGCGGGACTGTTTCAACAAGGTTGACGCGATACACACTTTAGGGAGAGCGTCGGGGTGGACTCGCAGAAATTATGACCTGTGCACTCGGACAGTGGCGCAGCAGACAGAAGACGTACGTCGGAGTATCCATAGTTTGAGTGATCATATCTCAAATGACCCACTTTCCAATGCTCTTTGTGGGATGGTTGGCATCGTGAGTGGGTTATGGGGTGTCGAGGCGGAAAATACTAGGGAGATGTCGGGATTGATAGCTATCTCCGGCTATTATTATCCAGAAAATGATGGAAAGTATGACAAGAAGAGTGATATATCAGCGCATCAAGCAATCTTATTCTTTGAGACCAGTAATTCATCCCCTGTTCGTTGTTGAAACGGCGGATAAGAGAAACCGATGGCTTTGACGATGATGCTTTTGGCTTGCGCAATCAAAAGTGGAGCTGCAAAGCTTGGCCCAGCCGCTCAAGCTCATCATCCCCTTCAGGAACCTGCTTGCGGATAACGCATTAACCTTCATGTCTGGAACAACACTTGGTCTCTTTTTCTTCCATACAGACAAGAGAACTCTCCCACTTCAGCTTAGCAGTGCGTTGATTGCGTCATGCTTTAATTATAGAGACGCTCCACCTCCCTTCAGCAGTAACAAAGGAGATGTGATGGAGTGATAAGATGGAAATATATACTTCCATTCAAGTGCTAGCCACGCCGATGTCTGCTGGCTCATCAGTTCAATCTGCGATTATCCTCATGATATGCTGCGCCCACACTCTCGCCGCCCTTGGACTGGGTTCATAACTGGTTTCTTTGTGTTGAGCACATTGCTTGCAGCCATCATCTTTCTAGGCATCCCTAGTCTACAGCGCTTACGCCTACGTATCGGCGTCTCATTGTTCGACTCAGGGGTACTAGGCCTGTACCCCGTCCACGAATATGTCTCGACTGATCTTGTGTCCCCGAAGCTGGAACAGGTAGCGTGGGACCCGCGATGCAGCAACGATCTGATCTTCCTCTCGGCTCGCGGCGACGCGGTCGAGCAGCCAGGACCCATGATCTTCAATGCCCAAGGGGAACTGGTGTGGAAGTTGCCACCCACCTCCGAGCGGCTGGACAATTTTCAAGTGCAAGAGTACCGCGGAGAGACCTTCTTGACCTACTGGCATGGGGTCGGAGAGAATGGCCATGGGCGCGGCTCCTGGATCATGGTATATTGACCCTTCGCATGCTGCGTTAATGGACACATATCTGACAGATCCGCTGGTTAGATGGATTCGACCTATACTCCCCGTCTCGAAGTCCGAGCCGTGGGCATGGCGGAGGGAGATATGCACGAATTCCGCATCACTCCCAACAACACTGCCCTCATCATTGTCTACACCACCCAACCGGCAGACTTGAGCGATTTGGGCGGGCCACAGCAAGGGTATATCCACGACTGTCTCTTTCAAGAGATTGACATCGCCACCGGAGAGTTAATCTTCGAATGGCGCATGTCAGAGCATGTGCCCCTAGCCAGCTCCTACGAGGCATTACTGGGCAATGGGTGGAGCCCCGCGCATCCCTACGACGTCTTCCACATGAACAGCGTCGACAAGGACGAGGCCGGCAACTACCTGATTTCTGCACGACACACGCACTCGATCACCAGCGTCGACGGCCGCACAGGTGCGGTGCTCTGGACGCTTGGCGGAGCGCTGAACGAGTTTGCGGATGCCTCCAACGGCTCCGCCACCGACTTCGCCTGGCAGCACCATGCGCGGTGGCAGGATAGCCAGACGATCACCCTGCTCGACAACGGCGCCAAGTGGTTCTTCGACGAGCCCACCGCCAGCCGTGGGCTAGTTTTGGAGCTGGACGTGCCCAATCGCATCGCGACTGTCAAGGCGACCTACCAGACCCCCACAGAACAGGCCACCGGCACGCTCTCGCAAGGAAGCATGCAGTTGCTGCCGGACACAGGCAACGTCTTCATCGGCTGGGGCCACTGCGCCGCGTTCACGGAGTTCGCGCCCGACGGGGAAGTGCTGTGCGACACCCATTTCGGGGCGGGTAACTGGTTCCAGCTGGGCCGGGTGATGTCCTATCGGACTACCAGGGGCCGCTGGGTTGGCCGACCCAGAACCCGACCTGACGCGGTCGTCCGCGGGTCTTCAGTATACGTGAGCTGGAATGGAGCTACGGAGGTGGCAAGGTGGCAGGTCCAACGCTGGGACGGTCGCAACATGGGCCCGCAGATGGCCTTCACTCCCGAGCAGACTGTCCCTCGCGACGGGTTCGAGACCGAGATCCCTCTCTCTGGCAAGGCAGGGACGGCGGTCTATTTCCGAGTGGCCGCCCTAGACGCGCAGGGTCAGGTCCTCGGAGTCTCCCAGGTGTTGGGGCAGCAACCCCAAGGCTGGGGCGAGCGGTTCGCGAGCCGATATCTCGACCCCATGTCGAGTGAAGTGGAGACGACGCTGGTGCTAGTCGGCGGTTGTCTGAGCTGGTGTGTCTTCCTGCTCTGGAGATGGATTGTGAATCGCAGGTGGCAGCGCCGGGGATATAAGCCTCTGTCGCTGGAGATGTCAGATCGATATAGCACGGACGATTCCCAAGCAGTCTTAGGATGAGTCGCATGGTCTGGATGTAGATTTGGCAGTTAATATTCTTCTGTGTTTCTTTCTTTTTTTCACGCCTATATCACTATAGCAGCTACTGTACTTTGAACCTGTATGATCTTGTATTGAAACCATTGCATTAAATAGAGACCACAAACAAATCTACTCGAACCAAACACCACCCACTCAGTACCCCCAAACACCCAACTCACCATCGACCAACCTATTTCTCACATCCTCAGCCACTAACCCCACTCCATCACGCCTCCGACTCTCCATCTCACTCCCCCTTCTGCCCCCCCTTTCCCTCCCCCTTCTTCTCCCCCTCATTATCCTCTTCACACCCATTAACCATCAAAAACCTCCTCTTCTCCCACCCCACCACATCCCCCCCCAAGTTCCCCTTCCGCAACACCCGTCCCGGCACCACACCCTTCTCCTCCAACCACATGAGCGGCCAAAACACCGCACACCCCATAATACAAAACAGCGTCGCCCACGTCTGCGCCGCCAGCACCAACAGCTGCCCAAGCCCCCAGGGCATGACGAACTTGACGAACTCCGACGGCTGGTAGAAGTCCTCCTGCTTCTTGATGTAGTAGCGTTTCCCGGACCCCTGGACGGGGGTGCGCCCGTCTTCCGGGTCGGTGGTCAAGTCGAGGACCGTGGTCAGGGTTACCGGCGCCACGTGGAAGGGCACCAGCCAGATGGAGAAGATTTGGGAGATGGTGAGGTACAGTTTCAGACTGGGTTTGTCGAATGCTTTTTGCGGGTTGGGGTTAGCGGTGGGAACGGGGCCCGGGGTTCGCTACGTCACGTACCAACCGATTGCACCTCCAGTTCTATCCGCGGGGACATGATCTTGTACCATTGGTAGATCTTCTCGATGAACCAGCGGCTGCCCGGGTAGCTCCAGACGCGGCAGAAGGGGTGGACGAAGGCGGCGGACGGGGTGAAGAATTTCTGGATCGTGCGCTCTTGGTCTTGCGGGGTGGATTGGGTGAGGTGGTGGATTATGGTGGTGATTTCGGAGGCTGTTCTCGATGTTAGTGGTTGCTTTGGAGTTGTGGTGGTGGTGGTGGGGACTTACCTGGGTCTTCCATGTTGAGTGATT